AATGTCACTTCAGCAAATAAAGGATGGGGGAAAAAATAAAATAAAATTTACTTTAGGGACAGAAAAAAGAGATTTTTCAATTGAGAAGCTAAGCACGGGCTCAGCACAAAAGTTGAATGATTAAAATGGAGTTCTAAATTTATTAAATATCAATAGGTTGCAAAGTGTTGGAATTTTTTTGGTGGTAAAAAGGAGTTTTAGAGAGGACTTGGAGGAGAAGGAGAGAAACGTCATCGAGTTACCTCAACTGGTGAGGTCGAACCCATCTTTTTTTATTCATCTTCTGCTATTATAGCACAAATTTCTTAACACATCAATAATAATTTTCTCACTTAAAATTTATCTAATGTAAGATTATATTAAAGTTAAATATTAATTTTGATCCTTCAATTTTAAAATTTTATATAATTTTTATCTCTTAATTTTTTTGTATTTTTTTATTCCTTAACTATAAAAAATATATTTTATTAATTTTTTATCAATTAATCTATTAAATATATTTAAATTTACATATTTTTATATATTTTTAATCTCTTAACTTAAAATTAAATAACAAAAAATATACATATATTAAAAATTAAATAATTAAAAATTTATAAATTTAGATAAATTTAAAAATACAAAAAATAATTGAGCAATAAAAATTATATAAAATCTTAAATTAAAAAACTAAAATAGACATTTAACCTTTCATTAAAATATTTCCCGCCATTTTGTGCGGTTCCATGTTGTTGTAACTCTGCAACCCCTTTGCAGCCGTTCATTTGCATTTCATTTGTTCTTCATTGCAGCCTCATTTCAGCAACATTTTACAGCTTAGCTTGCTGCACTTTGCTGTTACGGTGCTGTTGGTGCAACTCTCCCTTCTTTTCATTTTACTGCCACTTGTGCAGCTTTGAAACCACAACTCCAACACGAAGAAAGCATACCCTCAAAAGCAATTCTCATTTGCTTCCCCTACCCTTCCGATTTCGGTAATGGCGGTTTCACATTTCAGCCACGAACACCCTCTAACCCTAGTTGAGGTCGAAGAGGAGGATCTCGAATGCAACGGGTGTGGTCGATTCCTCGCTGGACCGGTCTACAACTGCAGAGACTGCGACTTTAACTTACATAAATCCTGCTTTGATTTGCCCACTGAGGTATCTCACCGTTTTCACCAGGACCACCCTCTCTTCCTCCGGTTTCTAGACGAAGAATCCAACTGCACCAGATGTTTTGATACTTGCGTTGGTTTCATCTACCATTGCAGTGAGTGCAGCTTCACCTTGGACCACAAGTGTGCCGTTCTGACTAATATCTCGGTACAAGAAGCAGGACAGGAAAAAAACTCCATCGACCATTTTCTCCACAATCACTCGCTTACGTTTCACAATAAATTCCCGACGTCCAAGCTTTCATGCCCGGTATGCAGGTTGCGACCCTCCGGTCGTCCTGTCTATTTCTGCTTCGACTGTAGCTTATTCATTCACAAGTCATGTATTTGGGAGATACAGCCAGAGATTCAAAATCCTTTCCACCACCACTCTCTCATAGCTTTCTCCACCATTTCATTCGAAGAATGTGCCTCCTGTAAAATGAATTTCAAAGGCATCAGTTATTGCTGCCTTAAATGTGGGTTCCATCTCCATGTTCAATGTGCGGATTCGGCAAAGCAGATGACCACCTTAAAACTCAAACGCTGTGAACATAATTTCTATTACTTTGAATCAAAAATTGATAGTTTGTTTATGTGCGATGCCTGCAATACCAGCTGCATCGGCTCTTTCTACCGTTCTGTGAGGTGCGATCTTAACCTCCATTTTGAGTGTATTCCGTTGCCGGAGTCAATATTCAAATGCAAATTTCACAAGCATAAACCGCTGGTCTTCAAGGATGAGTATGTGGATGAAGAATACATCGAAGGACATTACTGTGATTTTTGTGAGGAATTAAGAAATCCAAAAGAGTCTGTGTATTACTGCGATGAATGTAAATCTGCAGCTCATATTGCTTGTGTGATGGTAAGACCTTATTCATCATTTTCAACTTTAATTGCCTGTGAAAGATCAGATTTTTCTAAACCAGCTAAAATTGCTCATCTACTGTACAGGAAGATCAAAGGATGGAGGTCCGGTCCTATATGGTTCCCAGAAAAGTGAGTTCTTGGCGACTCCATTTCATCCACGAGCATCCCCTGTTTGAGGAGCAAGTGGAAGGCAAGCTCTGCTGCGATGGCTGCTCCCAGATGATCTCTGGCCCGGCATATGGCTGTGAACAATGCAATTTCCACGTGCACAAATCATGCACAGAGTTACCTTTTGAGATACGACATCCTCGGCATCCGATGCACCCTTTGTTCCTTGTTCAGAACGAGTCGGGATGCCTCAAGTGCGATTACGACAGATACAGTGACGACGGATACAGTGACGACGGATACAGTGGCTGGAGCTACCATTGTGGAATGTGTACTGTCAGCATCCATCTTAAATGCGCTTCTTTGACCATGGAAGAGGAGGAGAAAGAAGTTCACATTAGTGATACAAAAGAGTGGGAAGAGGAAGCGACCGAAGGCAGTGATAAAGAGTATGAGCAAAGGATTCCCACAACAAGGAGTTCTAGGCTCAAACATTTCATCCATGCGCATCCCTTGTATGAGGAGCAAGTGGAAGGCAAGCTCTGCTGCGATGGTTGCTCCCAGATGATCTCTGGCCCGGCATATGGCTGTGAAAAATGCAATTTCCACCTGCACAAATCATGCTCAGAG